AAGGGATAATAGAGCACCTGTCTTCCTACATGAACCCGTGCTTGTTACAAATAAAGAAAATAAATGGTGAGCCTATAGAAGTAAAGAGAGGGAAACAGAAAAGGAGTAGGATTAAGTATCAAGGTTTCGTTATAATTTAACTACTTGTAAATACTGATTAAAACTCACTTTTAAGAATCTATGAGAAAGTATCCTAAAACAACTCAACTGTTGGGGGGTGGTGACTGACTGAAGACCGATATATCTCTTTTATTTAGAGCTCTGTCAACATTGCTTGTCTTTTAGTCAATAATTTTTAAAGTCAGTCCATAGTGATATTATTATCTATCTAAAAAAATCAGTCTCTATCTTAAGCTAGACATAAAAGTATTTATGAAAGTATCATTAATAAACATTAGTATGATACTGACTATCATATTTATAAGAAATTTGAGGCTTTTTTGACTTGCAGGCACCTAGAAATTTACCCTAGCAATAATAAAATACATGTGGCTATGAGGAAGCATTTTTAATTAATGAAATTCTTTTTTTAGAGAAAGAAAAGTTTACTCGACCTTCGGGAAGGTTGAGATATTTGCAAGACATTAGGGTAAATTTTAGGACTAAATACAAAATCTCTGGAGAAGGTACGGGAAGAAATTACTTGAGGTTTCTTGTGAATTTTATTATGGTTTGATCATAAATACCATGCGAATATCCTTTGTCAGTGTATTTTGGCAGTTCTTCCTAGGAGACCAAGGCGTGAAGAGGATTACCAAAAAAAAAAAAAAAGGTTGATTTTAGACTTGAAAAACGCAGTGGGGAATTCTGTAACTTTCTAGCCAATTTTCTGCCTCATTCCTCTGTCCACTCTACAGTATTATATTACAAAATCTTTGCAAACCCAAAAATGCAAACTTCCAAATAGAATCAAAACTTCATTCTTCTTAACAATTTTGAGAATAACCAAACTGTAATCCCATCACTTGTTCTATTATAACAATTAGGATGATTTGGGGTCTAAGTGACTGAAACACACATGGCCTAAAGTTAGAAAAGGGGATGTCCCGAGTCACAGAATCTAAGGAAGGTTGACAAGAGAGCTCCCGGAAGGACAGAGGCGCAGCGTGGCCCCAGAAGCAAATCCAGCTACGAATGTACTGTCTGGACCAGCTGCTTGTCTCTACTTCCCTCCGTCATCTGCTCCGCACTCCAGCTTCATAAACCTTACTCTATATGGGGTATATCAATTCCTTTGTTCTACTTCTTACACCTATAGTCACTGAACTCAATTAGGTTTGTCGGCTACCCCCGGACCAATCAATAGTTTGGCCTAGAGAATGTAGGACTCAGATTGGTTCCCTTTAGGTGCAGCTTAATACACTGTGACTGGGGGAACAGGATTGTGCAGTAACATGGTGGCTGCCTTGAGCATCACAAGGCTTGGCAGTCGGGCAAAGGAGGCGTCGTTCCCAGGCAAAGGAGAGTGTCATGGTGTGGGGCAGGAAAACCGTATGTTGCTAGTGCCCATAGCAACGCCAGGCAAAACCCACATTATGCCCATGATGGTTATGCGTAGTTCATGGAAGGCTAGGCTCTAGCTCACTTAAATCACTCTAGCTATTGGGACATAGAACTAATAGCGTACCACATGAAGCAAAGTCCTGGTGGAGCAAATAGGTGTAAATGGTCGAGTGCTATCTTCTTCATGAGACCCTCTGAATACTCATCTGGACCCTTGCAAGCATTTATGATCCTCACAATAGCTTATCACATAATTGTTCTACAATTGCTTGAATACTAGGGGTAAGTTTCTAGCTCAACTGTAGGTGTCTTATGCTTCCTTTTACTAGAGGACTTGTACACCAAGGTTAGTGTTAAGGACGTAATTTATTCCACATGTATTCCATAAATGATTTTTGAGAGCCTACTAATTTCTAGGCAATGTACTCGATGCTCAGGATACAAAGATAATTAAAGATGACCCTTAAAGAGAGCTCATGATTTGATGGTTTTTGTCCCCATGACACTTGACATAGAAGCCTAGCATAGCCAAATATGATCTAGCAAGTGAATTGCCTCTCCAAACACCAGTGGTATATCTAGATGCAGTTTAGTTTGCCTATCCAGAAAAATCAGAATTTTCCTCCCTTTTAAGCCAAAAAGCTATTAATGCAAATCCAATTGAATTTGCATTTGATTACATTTCTGATGGAAACATTCATATGCAAATCAAAATTCATGCAAAGATAGCCAGATAATTCAAATAGTTGCTGAAATATCAAGATAAAATTAGGATGTTAAATGTACATCTACAATGTCTACTAGGACTAAGGATCTTTAAATGGGACAATGTTCTTGAAAAACATAAATAAATCAAGTCTTGAACATTTAACATTTGAGTAGGTCTGGGTTCAGAAGGGAGCTGTTACATTACTTTCTACTGCCAGCGCTGAAAAAGAAGTCAGTCATTGGTCAAATCAGTTAGTTGTTCAAAAGAGGTTCATCTTGGATCCACTGTTTTGTTCCTTTTATATTTTTCTTGCACTTAAAAACGAAAAGTGATTTTTGATAGATCTGAAGTTATTTTGATTATCCAAAACAATGGACAAATAGTTTGTGCAATTGGCAGTTCCTTCATGCTTTCTAGTGGCTTAAATGGCGCCATCATGATCATTATGAATAAGTATCTTTTGGGAGACATCCATAGCGTCGTTGAGTATACCAGTGGAAAAGTGATCCGACTTACTCTTCTAAGAAAATATTTAACATTTTAGATTCTAAGAAAAGATTTAAGCAAAATTTCAAGACATAAATTCTTAGTCCACTATTACACATTTTGAAACTATATCTGAAGGAAATGTAGGTCTTGAAATCACACTGTTGCTCTTGTTAAAATGAACAGAAATTGCAGGGCAAAAGAGAAAGGTTTGAGATCACCGTACTCAGGATTGTTAGCGCTTAGTTTAATAGTCTACGAAGTGTAATGCTCCCCAGTTCTCTTTTATTTGATCCAGTGCACTGGCTTACAGTTTCAAGTCTTTCTAGCATTCCAGCGGTCCCTGCTTTGGTGAATGTCACCTACCATTCATCAAATCTGAAAAACCCGAGGCCCTTAGCCTCACCCTCTTTGGCACACCGAATTTTTCCCCACGACTAGTGATTTTACTTCTGAAGTGTCTCTCAAATCTAGCCACTTCTCTTGTAGCCTCTATCATCAGTTTCTCAACCTTCATCTTTTGCCTGGCCCATGGCAAGAGATTCCTAACTGGTTTCCCAGAATCAGCTATTCCTGCAATTCCTGTCACACTGTACCCGGATTTGTCATTTAAAAATGCAGATACTCCATAATTTCATCCCGTCACCCTCCTTGCTTAAGACCCTTCGATGGCTTCCTTTTTCTCTTCGGTAAAGCCCAAATCCTTAGCAGGGCTGTCCCCCGGTGCGTGGTCTGGTGCCTGCCTGCCTCTTCACCCCAACTTCATGCTGCTCCTCTTTGACTCTGCGCTCCAGCACTGTCCTTTCAGATCCTGAAATGCTCCCTGTCCTTCCAGTCACCACCGCTCTGCCTCAAATTCTGAGTTAAACTTCAGGCATTTTCAGTGAAAGCTTTCAGACCCCATCAGGCCCCCTTCTTACTTCTTTCATGCCACCATACAACTTCCTTTCATAATGCTTATTTGAGTTTGTAATGGATGTTATGTTCATTTTTGAGATGGTATCACTTGTATTGACCGCTCTCGTGGCTTCCTGGGATGAAGCTGGATCTGATTTTTGCTTATCAAAACAAGACACGATGACTGTCACATACCAGGCATTCAGTAAATACTTGTTGAATTCATGGAAGGTTCCAATTTCTATTCTCATCTGTAATCCACCAGTTCATAATAGTGAAAGCCAAAAATAAAAATAAAAATGGACCCCACAAATTGCCAAGGAGAATTAGTATAGCAAGTACTGTGTGATATCTTTTAGTGCAGAGAAGGTGAGGCGAAGAGAACAGTGTTCTCAAGCTCAACTGCTCTCAGAGACCATGAAGGTAGCGCTCCACCGTTAATCATACAAAGCAAAGGACTTTTTTTCACCTACTTATAGCAGAGATAATGTAACAGCCGCTCTCCCAACCCTGTCTTATGCATAAAATTTTTTATTTAGGATACTCAAGCCACAAATTATTTCAGAAACATATCTAAAGGTTTCAAATATACACAGTCTTGTCACACAAGTTGCTAAAATTGATTTACAACTATTATTCATTTCATGGGAATAGAGTCATAATTACAAAATTTAAAAATAATATCAAACTCACACAGCCATATAGCCGTTTCCTTAACTCAATCTGTTACCTTTTATTTTATTTCTATCAGTCGTGAGCTTAATTTTATTTTCAGCAGCTTTAAAGTGCTGAGCTACATGTTGAAATTATAGGAAAAGATAAACTGCCACTTTCCATGATTTTTTAAACAAAGTCACAGTATCATCTCTCTAGGAATATCTGTCCTTTCGCATCTGTCTCAGAGTGTGCAGTCCTGGTCCTCCGAGATACTCAGAGTGGAAGGTTAAACGCTTATATTTAGCAACAGGATGTGTCTGTGGTCAGGGACGTTAAGTTTAGTGGACAATAAAAAGTTAAATATACCTTTATTAAAAGAGAAGGACATTTTATACAAACCATTAAAGTAGCTCTGAGCTCATACGGTCTCTCACGCTTGTGAATCTTATAGAATGTAGTTGTTTTTCTAAAAAATTTCCCTAAACATCGTTTGTGAGTTATGTGGACCAGCATCCCTGAAAGAAGAAAATAAAATGTGTCTGTTTCACGTAAAGCCCTCTTTTTCTGCATGTATTATAAGAATACACATTTAACCAATAACCCATCGCCTGCAACATTTCTTACAAACAAGCTGGGTGTCTGTAGCCTTTTTGCAAGTTAACGTGCCTTACTAGCAACGATGTAAGCAGACCCGGGCCCCTGGGAGGAAGGCCCTGAAAAGGCATTTCTTCTCCTTTTATGATTTCAGTTAAGAACGCCAATTGCACAGCAGACTTTGAGGAATACTTTGCCAAAAGGAAACTGGAGGAGCGCGACGTCCACGCCGTGAGCATCGAGGAGTACCTTCAGCGCAGCGACACGGCCATCATCTACCCCGAGGCCCCCGAGGAGCTGTCTCGCCTGGGCACGCCCGAGGCCAACGGGCAGGAAGAAAATGGTGAGGCTGTAATTCATTTTTAGCCACTGCGCTGACCTCTGCAGCTGTTACAATTACAAATGCACTACATGCCTGGGTGTTTACCTTAAAATTTGAAGAACAGCTGCAGAGGCATGGAATTTCATGAGCAAAGATTAGAACTGTAATTTTAGGGTATTGTGAAATTTTTTTGTCAGCAAATTTGTGTCATTTGTACATCCAATAAAGAACAAGAACAATTAGAGCCTATTTCTCAGAGATAAAAATATCTAAATTGATTCCTAGCTTTCCGAAATATTTCACTTTCGAAAGGGTGGAGGGGCGGCGGGGGGGGG